CGTTTGTATTCTCATATAATTTTTTTAGGTACTGACTGACACTTATCGTTCATAAATAGATATTGTAACATAACAACGATAACTAATTTGAAAGTTGTAACTTGGAATCTCAACTTTATTTGAATGTGTACTCATGAATTCAATACAACATTCAATACTCATGAATCATAATATTTTGCAAGCTGCAATGTGTTGCAAGTAAAATTATTTGAAATGCTTTTCCATGCGTTCTTGCCAAAACATTTTTTTTCTATTTCAATATGTTCCATATGCATGTCTTCTCGCAAATTAAGACACAATTATCTAGAAGTTTAGATAAATCTTACAACGCTTAAACTTGAAACTTATTTTCACGCTACAACATTTCTTCTCGCTTCGAATCACCGACATGTGGAACAGCCTCCCCGACTACATCGTTGACGCTCCAAGTATAAATGCGTTCAGGAACAGACCAGACAAAGCTATGGAGAAATATATATTCAGACTTGAAATGCCTAGCACCATATCGAACCCGATGGATATCTAGAGGCTATTTCAAACTGTCGTCAGTTTGGAAAATATCCGGTCGAAGGACCTGTTTATAGATTTCCTGTGGACAAGTCAAGAGAAGTACAAGAATCGGCGACAGGCCACCTCAGGCCTATTATTCGGCGCTGACATCACTACGCAATACTATACTTCATACCCTTGGAAATTTATGCTTAGCCGAAACTTAACTCTACTCGATGAATTCGCAGTATTCACCCCATCGCGGCCATTTTGGACTAGCCGTTTGCCACTTCAGCGTCCTCAGCTCTTAAACATATCCTCTTGAGTAGTACGAAGCTGTATGCCACTTATTTAACTCTTAAATTAACCCTGAAGCTCATACGCAGCCTCAGCAAGGAATAACTACACTCCGCTAGGTAGGATACACACAGCGACACTCAGAGGTGGGCAGTAGCGCGCTACATGTAGCGGACGCTACTAGCGGCCGCTACATTTTCTGTAGCGGTAGCGGTAGCGGCTCTACATTTAAGGCAATGTAGCGGTAGCGGTAGCGCCCGCTACATATTTAAGTAGCGATACGAGGTTTTGCCGCTACAGCGCTACCGCTACATTTATAGATATAGCCTT